CTGGCCGCGATCAAGGGCACAAGGGTCACTTCTGTGGCCTCTCCTCCCTGCCCAGCCAGCTCGCTAAGGTCCTCCAGTGCCCCTCACGGCCCCTTCCCTTCGGGGGAAGGCCTGAAAGCAAAGTCCCGTGAAGACTACAGGCACGTGCGTCTGCAGCGGCAAGATGTGCGGAGGGCTCCCGGTTGCTTCCCTGGCAGAGCAAGTCGGAGCCGCTGGGGAGGCCATCGTTACTTCGGGGGGGGGGGGGTTCTTTCCTCTTGCACCGATACAAAGCAAGGTCCACCGGGCTGACAGCTCTGGCCAGACCCACGTTACTGGGGGAAGCTTTTCAGGTAACACGGAGGCGACTGCTTCAGTCTCAATGTGCTGCAAAATCAATAGCTTCATCAGCACCTGGGGCGACTATTGGCAGGGGGGCAGGGAGCCCCAGCCGCCCCCCGCAGGTCCCATCTCCCCCTTTCAGCCCCAGCCGCCGCTGGCAGCTCCTATTCCTCCTTGTAGCAGCGAATGGAGGCCGTGGTGCAGTGCCAGTTTCCTGGCCTCGCGGGCCGGCAGGGACAGCGACTTGGGTTCGCTTCCCTCCTCCTGTGTAAAGTGGGTGGCTTCTTCACGGACCCGACCCACCACGTGCTCGCTGCCGGGGAAGGGTCCGGTGGAGCCCGAGCCCCCCAGGACACCTGGGTGGGGGCAATCGCTGCCTCTTGCATCCGAGACTTGTGTTTGGACCATGCGCTGCATCCTCCCCTCCGGCTGGGCCACGGCCACGTCTCCTTCAGCCACGGGGCTGCTAATACCACGTGCACCCATGCCGGCGGCAGCGCTAGGAGCCAGGGAGAAGGCATCGAGGCCTACACGTGAGTCCCAGCTCCTGCTCCCGGCCGATCCCTGCCGGCACGTGGGGCCCGGCGGTGTCTCTCCCGTCAGGGCTGCCTCTAGGCTGATTAGAGAGCAGGTGATCCTATTAATTGCTGGTCCGTGTCCCAGGGCCCACCCTCATCCCCTGCACCAAGCTGCCCTGTTTCCTGACCTCTGTCTCTGCAATCCCCAGGGCTCACGGGGAGCCAGGCCAGGCTCAACAGATGCCGGGAAAACGTGCCAAAGTGCTCCCATTAGAGCAAACTTAACCACCCACTGCGTGGCACTGCCCATACAGACGTGCGCCCACACCTGTGCCTGCTGGTCTGGCAGGGCCAGGCTGCCGAGGGGTCGGGGCTGGTTTCCCCAGGGGGTCAGTCCATTTTGCTGCTCTGAGATGCCCCCCTGCCCCGGCTCCGTGCCTGCGGTCTGCTCTCCTCCCCGTCGCACGTGGCTGCTGCGTGGTCCCTGCCAGCAGTGAGGGAGCCCGCGCGACCTCAGGAAATGTCACAGCTGCTTCCTGCAAGATTGATCCTTTGCCTGTCGCTGTGAAGGCCTGGAGGTGCGCGTGCTGCTCGCAACCCCATGTGCTCGAGTGCAGGATGCCCATGGATGTGCCCCCCTCTGCGTGGCCACCAGGCGAGTCGCTTCCCAGCCATAGGCCAGGGGCACGTCCTTGCGTCCCCAAGGGGTCCCTGCTCCGTTCCTGTGCGCCCTCCTTTCCTCGGTCTGTCCGACCTGAGCAGGGCTCCTTGGACGTCTCCCGGCCCGGCCTTTTTTCCTCCCTGTCGGGTTACACAAAAAAAACGTTCTCCAAAAAACAAGTCTATGGTCAGTTGTGTTCACCGGGCTTTTGGGTTCGAAACCTGGCTCCTGTGGGGATAGCACCGCCTTCAGCTCTCCGTGTCTCCAAGGACACATGCGTGGGAGCAGCTTCTTTTTTCCTCTTGCAAAGCAGCATCTTGCAGGGCCTGGCTGCCCCCATCCCCACCAGGTGCTGCAACCTGGGATGTCCCGGCATCTCCTGTCGGCTCAGGGAAAGCCACATCCCCCCTTCCAACCTCCCTGACGCATGTCAAAAGTTTGCTTCCTGCCCCTTTTGCTGCAGCCCTGAAGCTGTAGTCCTAGCCACACCTGCGCTGTCAGGAGACGGGCAACGCATGTGTGCTCGTGCCCGGGAGACCCAGCACCAAGCTGGCACTCGTGTTTCCTCCACGGCTGTCTTGGGTCTGGCGTGGGCTGGGGGAAGGTGGGGGGCTTCCTGCAGCTTCCTTAAGTGCCCGAGCCGCTTGCTGCCCCTTGGTGGAAATGGGTTCAAGCGTGCAGCTTTGCAGGGGTGTGAAGACCTGCCCTGGGACAGCCCTGGGTGTGCAGCAGCCTGCATGGGAGAGGGCAACCCCCCAGCTTGCTACAGCACCGCGGCCCCGCAGCGCAGCCTAGACGGCTGCATGGACCCGCAGTGGCACCTGGTGGAGGAACGGCGAGACGGCCGCTCTCCCCGAGCATCATCCGTGACATTCCCAAAACGCCTGGTTCTGCACTGGCTTGACCCCCGCCTCTTCTCCCCTTCAGGCATCACGTCTCCTGCAGGTCCTCAGCATCTCTCAGGGGCCCCCAGCAACGCCTCTCCTGCAGGTTTTATTCTCGGTGCCTTCCGGACTCCCGTCTCCTGGGCCTGGGGGATCCCGGCAGCCTTCCCGGCTCACGTTCCCTGCAGGGGATTGACGTCGTGAGCTAATGTTTTGCACTTTTCTTTTTATGCGTATCTTCCAAAAAAAAATAATTAGCTTTCCCAAGCACAGGGCAGCGAGTGCTAAGTCCGTGCATCTCTGGAGCGGAGAAGCCAGCGGGGCGTACAGGATCGCTGCAGCCGCTCTGGAGGCCTGTGACCGCCGGGGAGCAGTTTGCAGCCGGTAACAGGCAAAAAAAAAAGTGCAGCGAGGCATTTCACCAAACCTTGATCTCATCATCAGCGAGGCATTTCACCATGATCTCATCATCCAGTCCGTCTAAATTACCCTCACGGCAAAAAGGCCGTTACAAGTCACTCTATGAGTGGTGGCAGAGCAGGCCTGACGTGCTCAATAATAACGCTGGGGAGGATGCAACATGTGAAGCGCTTGGACCGAAGCTCCTGAGCGACATCCCGTCTCTCTTCCCCCTCGACACGGTTTAAACCCTGGCCTGGAGCCGTCCGAATCGGGTTCCCCTCCTTCACCTCTGTGAAAAACGAAGCCCACAAAACAAATGACAACGTTGGTGCTAGCGACGGAGGATCCTGGCTCACCAAGTCAGATGGTCCTTCCACATGCAGGGAGATTTTTGCAATAACAAGGACACCATTAGGTTTCAAATCTGCTTGAAGGCCCAGTTCATTGTGGGACCCTGCTTCCTCCGTCGGGTGCGGAGGGAACGGCGCAGGCTCCACAGCGCGGGGAGCGCCGGGTTTCAAGTGCAGCCTTCAAGGTTGCACCGGCGACGGCAGCACGTGCACCCTCCTGGGCTCTCGGGGGGCCACGCTTGCTACCCGCTAGGCTGAGACCTGCCAAACCTCGTTTCAGAAGTGACCAAATTAGGGTTTGACCCCGGGCTTCGCACAGCAAAAGGCCAGAGTGTCGAATCCCTGCGTGAGAGAGCCCCACACGTTGCACAGCCTTTTGCACGCGCGTCCCTTGCTGGGAGCTGCAGAGCTGCTGCCGTCTTACCGTGCTCGTCGGAGTGGAGCAAAACTCCGTTTTAAAGGGGGCTCTGGGAGGGGAACGTCGCCATTTTCTTCCTGATCTTGGAAAAGCACGAGGGGCTTTTCCCAGCCTCGTCTCCCCCTCCCGTCCCCACCCAGCTGGCACTTGACACCTCGGCAGCACCCATCCCAAAAAGCCAGCGGCTTTGAGGACATCCCCCACGAGGCAGGCTAGTGACACCTGTTCCGCAAGCAGGGAAACGGAGACACCTCGCACCTGAGACCGCCCCGCAGCTCCGGCACCGAGCCCTTCACCTGCTGCAGCAGGTCTGTTAGTTGCAAAGGGACGGGTGCTTTGCTTTGCTTTGCTTTGCTTTGCAGCAGTCGGGGTGGCTTGTCCCGCCCTGGCTCAGTTGGAAGAGCTAATTGCAGCCGTTCCTCATCACCCAAGTGTCCTTTGCAGGGGAAGCAGCGAGTGCCAGGCTCCCAGCCTCTGCAACGGGCCCGGCCCAGGGGCACCGGAGCGGGGCAGGGCAGGGGGCAACCCGGAGGAGGATTTCGGAGCAGCCTCTTGGCCCCTGTACGCGAAGGGGTGCTGGCTCCCTGCCCCCACCGGGGCACCTGGCACAGGAGCTCAGTGGG